AGTGATGGTGCTAATGGTCACCAGGGCAGAAAGTAGGCAGCCCCTCATTCGGGTAGACCCCAATTTATACCTCCTGTGGCTTCTGTTTCTCCTTCTCCTCCTGCTTGGGCAGGGCCTGCTGTGTTCTGCCACCCTGAGTCTCAGGCAGCAAGTGGGACAGAGGTCTGAGAAGCAGGGGACCCGGCTGTTGTTGTCAACAACCCCCTTCCACCTTCTCCCATCCTCAGGGCTCGGCAGGGAGCGGGGAGAGGGCAGGACCTTCAGCCTAAGTGGCAATGATTGTTGGGGAGACTCGAGGCCAAGCCACCGAAAGTGAAGGGAAGAAGAAGGGAGAAAAGGCCAGGGATACTTGGTAAAGCTCAGAAGAAAGGAAACCGAGTCCATCTCTGCCGCATCCCGGCTGTGGAGCGCTGCACATGCCTTCCAGTGTTTCAAACCCTCATCACCACCATGAATGAGGACGGCATCATCAGTGGCTCCATTTTCAGAAGAGCAAACAGAGGCCCAGAGGGGTCTGGTGACTTTCTAACACCATGACCAGCAGGTAGAGGACTTGTAGTTTGAACCCAGGTTTGTCCGACTGGCCAGCTCCCTTTCTGCTGCCTTTCCTACCCTGCACTGCCAGCCTGTGTCTGTGCGGTAGGTCCCCAACCTGGAGGGTGAGCCCCCAAGGTTACCACATGTCAATATCAGGCAGATCGGCAATCCAGGACCTCAGGGAAGGTTTAGAGGACGGCACAAACCAGAAGTCAGAAGTGAGCCCAAAGCCAGGAAACCCAGGATGACAGAATGCTGGGAAGAACAGATGGTCTCCCAAATCTAAGAGGAAAGGCTAATTTGGTCAAAGCCCCAGTCATGGGAGCCCTGAGGTGTGCTCTCGAAACGCATCTGAGCAGGTCTTGCCCTAACCCCACGCAGTTACAGGCTCCCTGGGCCAGGCAGTGAAGGTCAAAACCATGCTTGCAGCATGACCTGAATCCAAACGAAGGGGACACAAAAGTGAGTCCTGAATGTCTCAGGTTCTCTCAATTAAGGAAGACGCTGTCCTTGGGGGATCAGCCAGGTCATAGCAGAGAGCAAGAAGCAGTTGAAGATGCAAACTTAGGTCACTCAGCACTGACCTGGCCCAGCCATTGCTCTTGGAAGCAACACACTGTTGGGTGACTGGGAAGGAAGTTCTTAACAAGAGCTGGGATGGAGCTGTAGTAGGAGGGGATCACACATCTCCTCCAGAACGGCTTCTCGGCACTGATAACCGGATGGGGACCCGAGGCCAATGAGTGAGCTTTCTCTCTCTAGCCCATCTATGTCCAGGATAATGATGATGACAATAAGACCAGTGCCAGGCTTCCTGGGTTTACTGCATGACCTTGGCCAAGGGACTTAACTTACCTATAGCTTTTCTCATCTGTAAAATGTGATAAACACAGCACCCTCCTCACTGATGAGTCAACCCAGGCAAACACCTCCCAGCCTACCTGGCCCACAGCAAGCACCTCTGAGCGTTAGCTGTCAGTGCGTGCAGGGGACGGATGTTGTCCCGCCCTCCCAGCAGCTGGTAGAAGATTCCTCTTAGAGCGAAAGAACTGCCTTGCTTTTGAAAACTCGTTGGTAAGGTCCCTGGTGGAAGAAGCTAGGGCTTCATAACCCGATGGGGGATGAACTGCTCCGTAAAAGACAAGGCAGGAGTGTGTTGGTTGCACTGGAAGGGGAGGAAGCACAGAGCCAGGGTCAGGAGGGTGGGGAAACCAGGGATTGCAGAAGGCTGGGAAGTTGCCCAGGGATTGCAGAAGTTTGGGAGGTTGTCCCCACCCTGCACCCCTCGAGTCTCACTAAACTCACAAAATTCTCCAGGCCAATGGATGGTTCTGGGGAAAGGGTGAAGGGCTGTGTCTTGTATCTGCGTCTGCCCATGTAAGGTCCCCAGTGGCCTCAGGCAGATACTGAGGTTTGAAGCAAGCTTTCCTAAATCTCCAAGGGGTGGGGGATTCTATATTCGCCACTGGGCTTCAGCTGGATCAGCTAGAGGCCAAAAAAAGTGAGCCACGCAACAGAGCTGGCTTCCCATGGACGCGTCCGAGGGGGAAACCAGCATCTCAATAAAACTAAGTCAGCTCCAACCCGAGGTCTCTACCCGCTGGCTGCAACACAGCCCTCAGCTACCACCCCATGTAAGTGTTGTTGCATTTCAAACAGCAAAGACAGTTGGATGTCAGAGATGGTTTGAGTCTCCGACTTTTATGGAATTCCCAGTGCGAGAGCCTCCGGGCTCAGGCAAAATTTCCCCAGTGGCAGCGCTTTGCTCCCCACATGCGCCTCGCCTCCCAGCCTCCCCGCTATTGAATCCAGCGTGATTGTCTCTGGGGCCCATAATGGAATTTTATCAGGGATTCCTATAACTGGATTGCTTATTTGCAGCCTTCCGCCAGCGGCAGCTCCAGATAAAGAATGCAGAGTATGTGCTTCGGTGTCACAAACTGTGCCTGGCCACCATCCATCATCCTGTCAAGACATCACTCCAGACAGCCCGGCTTCAAGCAGAACCAGGTTGGGGATTTTCTTCCCAAGAATAACAAACAGCAGCTAAGTCAGGTTAGGGAGCCCCTACTTCTCCCCCATGCCTTCATTACAGATGAATGGATTTCAGGTTTCCTCCTGTTGTCCAGCCAGTCCCCCTCCGTTTCTTCAGGGTCTGGAGCAGCAAAAGTTACCAACCCTCATCCCGTTTAAGAAGCCTCTAAATGTCACAATAAGTTTATGCAACCCTTGGCAGGCAGGATATGGAGATTGGAATAGCAAAAATTCTTTGCAAGTAGAGAGCACTTATAAAATTCATCCATGTATCTTATCCCATTGATCTTTATGGCCACCCTATAAGGCAGGGATTGTATTCCCCAGTTGCCAGTTGAGCTGAACGAGACTGAGAGAAGTTAAGTGAGTTCTCCAAGGTCACATAGAGTCAGGCGAAGTCGGGATCTGCACCCAGTTCTTTCGACTCTAAATCATGCACTCCTGGTACTCCTTATGTTGCAGCTATTTTTCCTTCCCCATACTCCTCCCCTCCTCAAGCTGTGTCTCTCGGTTGCTGTCTGTCTTTCCATACCTAGTCCCGAGCATGCAGTGAGGGTCTGGCCATCTCAGAAGCTGCATGGAGGGAGGGGCTGCCCATCTCAGTGGCTGCATGGAGGGAGGGGCTGGCCATCTCTGTCACTGCATGGAGGGAGGGGCTAGCCATCTCTGTAGCTGCATGGAATCTGGGTCTGGCCCTCTCAGTGGCTGCATGGACTAGGGGACTGGCCATCTCTGTAACTGCCCTTGGTCGTCTCCGAAGAGGCACTGATCATCAGTGAGTCTGCCCTCCCCTCCTCTGAATCATAACCAACCAGGATCAGCGAGGCTGGAGCTATGAGGGGGTTGCTTAGAGTGATCCAGTTCTTTTCTTTGATCTGTTAGATCCAGGAGCCAGCTGAGGCCAGCACAGTTCTCTCCCCTGTGAATGTGACAATTGGCCTGGGTCCTGATTCCCCACATCCTGCTGCCTAACGTGATGCACCCATCATCTCCAACCAAGAGACAGGGATCAGAGAGTCAACATGTCAGCAAACTACAACTCACCCGCATGCAAGCCAGCTGTCCAATGGGAATTCTTCTGATGGAGCGATGGGGTGGACTGAGGTTTTATACTTGCCTCCTCCAGTGATGCAGAGCACTATTTCCAAACCCAAGTAGTCCTCTGGCTCCCAAAATGAGGGAGAAGAGAGGAGGAGAAGGAGGAGCTAAGCTGCACCCATTGTCAGTGAGCACAGGTGCAGGAGAGAGGGGG